ACCTGCAAAAGTTTGGGCGGTTGAATGTTTCAGGATCAGAGCCTGTCTGCTGGTATCAGGCTGCCCAGTGCGTCCAGCTTGTCTTATCAACCCGGCAGTCAGCATCATCAGCATCAGCCTCATCCTGTTCTTCCTACCGGCCAGGCAGGGCAGCATGATGAGGATCAGCCGCGCCCCTTTCTTTCCTACCAGCCAAGCAGCCCAGCATATCAGCATCAGGGGCGTTTTTCGGTCTTGGTTGGCCGTCGGGCGTTGTGAGCATCAGCCGTATCCTGTCATTGTTATAGCGGCCAGTCAGGCCAGCATCATGACAAGCAGCCACGTCCTGTTTGCAGCCAGGCGCGCCAGCATCATGAGCATCAGCTGCGTCCTGGTTTTTCCTACCGGCCGGGCAGGCCAGCGTCATGATGAGGACGTTCGCCAGTTTTGCATCTCCGCTGTTGCAGCTGTCCCTGCAATCACGGTAGGTGTCTCTAGCCAGGTTCACACACCAGACAAGCAGCACAATGGATTTCACCCTGTTCAATTTCAAGCTGACAGAACAAGATACAACCCAAAAAGCTTGCCGGGCACTTTGCTGGCGTTGCTAGGTAAGCTGCGTAGACCGCCTGCAAGCCAAGTGAACAGTACTAATAACCAAAATACTAACGATGGTAATATTAGTCATAGTAATAAGAATCATTCTTAATTAAAAACAGTACTCATGATAAACATATTTGTAATATTAATCATAGTAATAATAATCATTCTTGATCACCAGTTATGGGAAAGAACGCCAAGGCTTGCCACAGGAGCCGCTATTGTCGATCAATGGTTTACAATACGTGACGCAATGCGGGCCGCACCACACCTCGGACATATCACGAAATGGCCCGTGGCGTGCAATCTACCTGTCGTGCCATGCATAGGTCAATACATCAAAACCAGGAGCGTGGCCAAGAAGATGGAAACAGCTATGGCTGCTCGCACCATGCTGCGCTGAGCTCGGCATGGATGGGATTTGAACGTTTAAACTCTAAACCCTTAAACCCCTGAGCCCCTAAACCCTTTTTTTCTAAATCCTAAAATCCTAAACCTCAAACCCTTGAACCCTAAACCGCTTATTCGCGACAAGTCTAGGGCTTGCTTTGTGTGTAGATTTTTGGAAGCTGCGCTGGGATGAAGCTTGGAGGACATGCGGGCGCACAGACCTGAGGCCATGTCATTTCAGGGTCTGAGGGTTTAGGGGCTTAGGGTTGTTCATGTCCCAAAAACTATAACCCAAGTAATCCTTTCCCCCCAATATTGAATGGCTCCCCCTCCCAAGGTAAATATTCCCGCCCGTATTTAATATTAGGGGGGGATATTCATCGTACGACCCGAATATTAGGGGGGCAAATAAGATCATATTAAATTCATACAAAGTTCGATTAAATCTCATAAGAGATATTTATCGTACGACCCGAATATTAGGAGGGCAAACAGCCATACAAAATAGGTTTAAATGTCATATGATGCCTGATTCGGGACTATTTCAGACTAGGGCCTTATTAAGGACTATCTCAAATTAATTAGGGCCTTATTAAGGACTATTTCAAATTAATTACTTATCAGGGACTATTTCACACTAATTAGGGCCTTATTAGGGACTTTTTAAAATTAAGGCCTTATCAGGGATTTCAAATCAGGGCCTTATTAAGCAGTATTCAAATTAGAGCCTTATTAGGGACTAGTCCTTGGAATCTGTTGCTGGCGTTCGTCTGTATAAATTCCGTTATGAAGACCATTCAAAAACGATCAAAAGGTAGGAAATCAAGGAGATCCCTAATCCTTAAGCGTCGTGCCAAAAAACCCGCCCCCTAATTCAGAGGATCCGAGCCGCATGGCCCTTTTTGAAAATAGTCTTGGGGGCAGATTTCAGGATTTGGAATTTGGCCCTATTTTATACTAGGGGGGTGGGGTTTAATATTAGGGGGAAGGGAGTAGTAGTTTCAGTTTCCCTTTTCTATTTTCCCTATATGTAACCCCCTAAACCCTAAACTCAAGACCATCATCCCTACAATTAGTTTCCTTTTTTCTTTTCCACCATCCCTATATGGTAGCTTCCCAAAATAAGGGGAACCCATTATACCCCCCATATACATCCCCTAATATGCAGGTCTTTGGGCGGAAGATGCTGGAAGCTCTTAGCCTAGGGTTCCTTCGCAGGTCAAGTCTTGCCTATGGATTCCTGAAAATTCCTTAGAGTTTAGAGGTTTTTTGGTTCAGGGTTTAGGGTTTAAAGGTTTAAGGGTTTCAGGGTCTAAGGGGGTTTGGGGCTTAGAGTTGAATGTTTAAACAGTTTAAGGTTTTAGGTTTTTCTGCTTAGGGTTCCTGTGTTGGCATAGTCTGAAGACTGTACGGCAGATGATCTTAGCCAGCTTCGAGTCCTCACTTTTTCGGGAATGCAGCTGCAACCAGGTCACATGAGTAGCGCTTGTTTTTTCAGTAGCTGAACCATGCAAGATTATATTCCTCTTAAAAGATACCATTGCCAAAAAGGACGACCTTATTCTTACTATCGTTTCGGGGGTTATAGGATCCCCAATTAAAATTCCACTCACATGGTATCATGACCTGGGAGCCCGAAGCTTCAATAATAATAGTAATAGTAATAACGGTAATAACAGTAATAATACTAATAGTAATACTAATGGTAATCAGAATAGTAGTCTCAGGTGCGAGGCAAGTTCCAGCGAAACCAAGATCTGCACTTTGGAAGACTTGCTTCCAACTGGCCAGGGCAGCTAGGGTTCTGGGGATTAAAAGTTGTGAGCCCAGCCATTCTAAAGAATCACAACAGCTCCTAGTCTGAAGCACCTAAACCCTGAACCCTGAAGCTCGTTGTCAATACGCAGAAGCGCCATTCATCAGGACTCAAGGGCCTAAGTCTGTGCAAAAGGGGCTCATGTACCTATAGATTAGTATATAGTTATAAGGCAGCCCTCCTTGCCTTAGTACATACTTATCTCTACACATAGATATACACATACTATATCAGCCCTACAACCGCATATATACGAGCATGTATATATATATATACACACATATGGCGGTTGTTCAAAATTCCTTTCTGGAGTTCGGCCAACTTTCGCACATAAGTGCATTTCTTTAGCGTCCTGTTTCACGAAACTTTTGCAGAGCACATGTTCACACGTGGGTCAAGTTGGGGTGTCAAATTGGATGCCAACATGTGAAGGACCTGATTGAAGACTTGGGTCCTCATGTTTGAGTTTCCGGAGATTAGGGCCCTAAACCCTAAACCCTTAACCGCGTTCTCCAAGAAAGTAAAAAAAAAGTCATCCTCTAGCCTTCTTTCGCGAACCTTTCGCGAGGCCTTTTTTACCGTCTGCGAAATGGTCGCCCAAGTGTAAGCAGAAGACACGCACCTTTAGAACAGCTCTCATATAAAAACATGTAAATATAAGCATATGTATATATACACATATACATACTCTATCCCTACACAGCCCTCTGCAGAGAGACGTGCCAACACTTTTAGTACCCGGCGCACTCACGAATTGCGGGCTGCGCGCTCGCACGCGCCAACCGCAGCATTGAGGATTATCCTGGGCAACAACAACACTGCAAAGCCCCTAAACCCTAATCCTAAATCCTACACCCTAAACCCTCCACTCCTTTACACTGGTCCTTGAGGTGTTATGAGCATCATGGCAAGAATGCACGTTCCTTTCCCATACCTCTCTCCAAGGCTTCCGTAGCTGGCAGGGTTTGAGTTTGTTTTCGTTCAACCCTTCGGGTTTAAGGTTTCGGGTTTAGCGTTGAGGGTTGGCTCGTTTTTTTTCGGCTGCCTCGCTGCCAGGTGGGCAAGGCACAGGGGCCATCTGGCTCTACGTTTGGTTGAGGGTTTCGGGTTTAGGGAGGGTTTAGGGTTTCCCATATGCCAAAAGGTTCTCTAGCTGTATGGTATTTCACTTGGGCCCTCAAGTATGACTAGTCCTTACCCTAACCCCTAAACTATGCATATAGATTCAGAAGCTCAACCCTAAATAGTAGCTTCCATTTCATTTTCCATATGTTTGCATTTGATTCTCCATCAAATCCTCAGCCCTGAGCCCTAAACGATTGAGGAATGCCTCTCTTGGGTACTGCCCCCACCCAGTAACAGTCTATATTAGGGGTCCTAGTAAGGGCTACATATAACCATATTATATTTATTATCCAACTGTTACTGTGTGGGGGCAGTATCCCATGCCTCTCCGTTGAGTCAAGCCACTCATTTGGGGGCGGCCCATAGCGCATCAAATGCTTCAAGAGATGCAACGCATGCCTGGCCAGATGCCCCAAAGGGTTCATGTAAATATATAGGGTTCAGGGTTGATAAAAGATAATCAAATGGCAAAGAGCATGAACATGAAATTCCAACTGGGTTGACATGGGGTTGCGCATGCTGTGCAAAACATATATCTACATGCTTATGTATTTACTTATCCTTCCATGGGCCCTACACCACAGACCCTAAAGGCCTAATCCCCTGCAGAAGCCCTCTCCTAAGCCCTACACCCTAAAGCCCCAAAGCCCTGCAGAAGCTCTCTTAAACCCTAAGCCCTAAAGCACTGCAGAAGCCCACTGTTTTGGACACCTTGCCAGTTTGACTCTACAGATTCTCTCCTCTTTAGGAGGCTAGACTGCTGAACACTGAAAACAAAGAGATGTCAGCTACCCTCACCCCTATAATAAGGACCCCCATAAATATCATCTGACTAGAACACAGCCCCCTAGTTTAAGGGGTGGGGGGGAGAGGGGGAGATTGGTAACCAAATCCCTCTTGTTAATTGGAGCGCGTACAACCAACAACAGCTAAGCTACAAGGATTCAGAAACTTCATCTACAACACATTCCAGGTTATGGCAACTTATCTTGAGTTCCTTAACTACGCACCCTTGTTGTGTTTGCGTATCTTAAGTTCCCTCCCTAAACCCTGTATTCTAAATCCTAAAGCATACACCCAGTCCAGGCGCATCCATCTGCCAGCTTGGCCACATGTGTTGATGGCAGAACTCCAACCTCCCCCCAAAGGGCCCCATGTGATTAAGGGCTTAGGGGGCGTATAGTCTATCTTGCTGCGTGCCAGTATATATACACATATTTAAAAGGGGGCTTTAGGGTTTAGGGTGTAGCGTAGGTATATAGAATACGCAGTGGGCCAACAGGGGTTCCCACATAACTATTGCCAATGATGTAACCCAGAACCCCTGATTAATGAACTGGAGGGTTTTTTCATGTGTCTACATTACAATGTAGGTATGTGGACACTCTGGGCCCGTAGCGGACCAATGCGTGTGGATTCGGATAGAAGAGTCGCGACTACTCAAATGGTAGGTTGCAAGCAGTATTATGGCCCCTTGCATGGCCCTAGCATTCTAGAGACCAAGACAAGGACTTCAATCATGATTCTGTGTGAAGTTGCAGACGGCAAGCCTTTCTGAAGCGACGCCCTGTGAACGGCTGGAACAAGAAACGCTTGCTGCAACAAACTTGAAACTCTCTCTACCCTAGCCTGACAACCCTGAACCCCGAGTTCTCAACCTGTAGTCCGCCTTACGTAGATAGAATATGGGGTATATGAGGATCAAACTATAATATACCCAAAGCCATATTCTATCTTAAGGGACCCATTCCGTTAGGTGTAGAACTCAGGCCACGGAACCCACAAGGTCCACGCAGCCACTGGTTGCGATCACAAGCAGTTCCCTGGTCAGCCGGGCCGTGAGGGCAGGGGGAGGCATCATTTTCCACTGGACCTTTGAATTCTCGCAGATGAGCTGTGTTCTTCAAAAACGCGAGGTCTGTCAAACCATCTGATGAAATATGTAAGCATGTTAGACATGCCTCGATGGAGATGAAGAAGTGCCAGAATTAGATGACAATGTCAATAGCACCGAGGGAGAAAAACAAACACCCAAATGGATGCAAGTCACAAGACCTTCAATAGAATTCCTGATGAAAGTGCCCCCTACCGGCAAAGAACCATCATCATCATTATCATCACACAACCCAGACCCCTAAATTATCTGAAGCATGGAACCTCCTAATAACCCCCTATATTCCCCACTGTAGTTTGGGGGTCATGTTGAGGGGCTCCATTGTTTGGATTCTTTAGGGGGTTCTGGGAAGACCTAGGCATGAAATGCAAACACCACACTGGCTGTGCCAAAGTTATGAAAGTCGTGGGTGTAGGGTTACAGGTCAGCAGCAAGGTACACCTGCGTATAGACGCCCGATGACGTAGGTTCATACTCTTCATGCACACGCAACCCACAGACACACACGGACACTGCAGCGTTTATGCCAAGGGAGCATGCGGTTTACGTGCACTAATAGTCATGCTTGCAAAAGTAAACAAGGCCATCCTGCTTTGCGTCAAAATCCAGAATCCACACTATTCTATGAGCCGCAGATATTATGAGAAATGCCATGGAGGATCTCCGCGAAACCCATGCGATTGGCACTTAGAACTTAGAACCCTAAACCCTAAACCTTCAAGCGATGGTTGCTCCACCCATGCCTGCCTCAGGGCACTTTGCCAGCCGCCGTGCGCCGCCGCAGCCAGGCGAACGTTGAGGCTCACACTATCTGCCCGCAGTCTCCAAGCCTCTGGGTTTGGGGCTGCTTATGCCCCAAAGGATCCATGTAACTATATGGTATAGAGTATAGGGTTCAGGGTTCGGGCTCAGGGTTTCGGATGGAGGAAATCTTGCACCGCTGAAGATCCCCCATGTAATGTAATTCCTAGGGTATGATGTAAATAGTATATGGTAGTTTCCATACGTAGGGGGACCCCCCAAAAAGTACCCCTAATTTTCGGAAACTCTCGTATAGGGCTGTGCAGGATTTCCTCCATCCACAGTAGGCAGCTTTATGTCAGAGGCCTCAACTGCGCAGTCCTTACAACATGAGACGTTTACCATATTAGGGCTTATAACGGTTTAGGGATTAGGGTTTATAAGGGTCTAGGGCTTAGGGTCACCCATTTTGAGGTTTGTAGGGGGTTAGGGCTTAGGGTTTACCACATCATGGCTCATAGGGCCTTAGGGTTTAGGCTTGACCATATTAGGGTTTATAGGGGTTTAGGGTTTAGGGTTTACCATATTAGAGTTTATACTGGGGTTTTCAGTTTAGGGTCTAGGGCTGACCATATTAGGGTTTATAGGGGTTTAGGGGTTGACTTTGGGACACCCTGTTTTTGCTATGCTGGAGAACTAGGAAGATACTTCTTGCATTGTGGTGCCGTTTCAGGCTTCCGTTGGTATACTTCACATGTACTTGGTTCGAACTCATGGGATAGTTTCAACCTTCGGGGGTGGATCTAGATAAGGGTTACCAAAAACTGGGTTAGAGGATGCCTTTTCGGCAGTCCTTATGTTAAGACAAGGGTTTAGGGCTTTAGGATTAACATTACTTAAGGCTTATATTGTATCTTGAGATCTACATTGAGGTCCCCTAGACAGGAAATCCCGCGACCTATGACTTGTTCCAGAAGCCCTAAACCCTGGCGGCTTCAGGTATTCTATGTTGCTGGTCCCTCCCACATGTAGGAGGCTCCCCAAAATTAGGGGTACCTTTTCGGGAGTCCCAATAGTAAGGACAATCGTATTTTGGGGTCTATGTTGAGGTCTCGGGGGTAAGGGGCTCACACTTCTTAGCTCTGAGCGATGTCTGGGCTGATTGCCGCACAGCAGCAACCATGTCGTCAAGCAACTGAAGAGCAAACTCCCACTGACTGGCATCTGCAGTGGCAGTCATGACAAAGCTCCACAGCACCTTCGGTTTAGCGGGTATAGGATTTAGGGTGTTCCTGGACCCAAGGTTCTATAGAGATATAAGGACGTTACATGGGGCTGATACCTGGCTTTCTAGTATGGTGGTTACATACGAGACTGGAAAAAGAGGTTAACATGCAAGATTGGAGAGTTTCTACCTGGCGAAAGGGTGCTTGATCCCTTCCCTAAACACGAAACCCTAAACCCCAACTTCAACAAGGAGGAAGTGTATGTCTGAACCGATGTGCTGCGCCCTGGTCAAAGTAAACAAGCAAAAGGGTCCAGGGCTTAGGGTTTGCGGTTACCGTGGTCTTCCATACGCTGCCTCTCTGTGCTTGTTACAAGTATAGACAGGCAGCATATGAAAGACCACGGTTACCGTAAACCCTAAACGCTAGACCCTTAAACCCTACCCCTTCAAGCCCTTAACCCTTGAAGCCTAAACCCTTAAAACCTTGACCCTTGAACCCTAATCCCTTAAACCCTTCACCCTTGAACCCTATAGTTACCCTAAACCCTTAAGCCCTAAACCCTTAAAGCCTAAACCTTTGAACCCTAAACCCTACACCCTATGCCATGACTTCAATCCAACCGGGCCGCGCCATCAAGGCTGCCACGTTGCAGGCCTGAGGCTTTCGCAGAACCGCGGTATTACACGCTGTTATATAAGGTTTAGGGTTTCAAAGATATAGCACAAATCTTAGTATGAGTCGGAGTTTACGGTTTAGGGTCTACGGCTTATGTGGAGATTATGAAGGGATACGCTGTTTTGAGAAGCGCCCACCTCAAAGAAAAGATCTTCAGCTTCATGCGTCTCTCTACGCCGAAAAAACCCAGGGGGCTTCAGACGGGGTAAGCATATTACGAAAAACGCGTGTTTTCCATGATGCTAGGCATAAGAGCCTATAGATATCACCTGGAGATATTTTGGATTTACCGTACCTAGGGAAAGGATTCCAAGAATTTCCTGCCCCGACATGCTGCGCTCTTTGCACTGCTTGTTGGTGCAAACTTCAGTTCAGGCTATGCCCGCTCAACTGCAAACCCTGAGCCCTAAGCAATAGATCCCAAGAGTCGCCATCACATGTTCCCTTGAAAGGTGACAGTTCCACCGTCAACCCTGCATATCCCTATAAACTTCACGCTTCCCTTCCATGTGCCACGTCTTGTTTCATCTTGTTTTCTTCGGTTCCTTCCTGTACCACTAAACCCTAAACCCTAAAACCCTAAACCTTTAATCCTAAACCCTATAGCAGTTTCTATTTTCTTGTCCATTATCCCAAGAAATCCCCAATATAACCCGTATATAGCCACTATATAATCCTTATATAACCAATATAGACCCTAAACCCTGAACAGCCAGCAAGAAAAGCCAAAGGACTGAGATCCCGGAGGACAGCCAAGGCAAAGTTCCAGCGCCCAGCCGTCGCAAGGGCACCTTCTGCTTGGTTTCTGCTTGGAGGTGTGATAGGGTTTAGGGTTTAGGAGTGCTGATGTTGAGAGGTGTCTCTAGGGATGTTGAAGCCAAACTTGTTTTGTGGACTCTAGTCCTGCTCTTGACAGGCGTACTCAGGGGTGAAAAGTCGCATGCCTACTACGATTAGAGCATCAGTCCAGCACCAGCACTGCGCAACCGCCGCCGCCGTCACCACCAGCAGTCACCGCTACCACTTCCCTGTCAACGCCGCCACTGCCAGCGTCAGGACCAGCAAAAGACACTACCGACACCACCTGCGCTCGGCCCGCAGAACCATGCAGCCGCCCATATGGGCACCCGCGCCTGGCCTTACTATACTTAGCTGCGCGGGTGCACCCATACTTCAAACATTGCCCTAGGGCTCCAAGCATCCAAATACTGTAGTGCCTACATTGGCCCCAAATGTGTACAAACAACAGCTACATTGGGCTATTTGGGTCCCTAGACCCCCAAATTCTATAATCCTTATTATGGGGACACCCCGAAAAGTACCCCTAATCTTGGTAATTAGTATTTGCAAGCCCTAATCCCTACATACCCCCATATACCCCTATATAAGCTCTATGTAACCCCTATATCCCTTTAAAGGTATCCCTCCAAGGATTGTGCTTTGCAATGCGGCAGAGCCTGTCACCTCCGCATGTGCCACTGCGTCAACCCGCAGCCTGCCCAAGGCAAACTCTGCGTAGTCCCCCCTGGTTTAGGTTGGGTACTGCCCCCACCCAGTAACAGTCTATATTAGGGGTCCTATTAAGAGCTATGTATAACCATATTACAATTATTATCCAACTGTTACTGAGGAGGGGCAGTGCCCAAGGTTTAGGAGCCAGGGAAGTACGACATGCTCTCCTTTCCCCAAACCTGAAGAGAAACCAGCAACATAAGCCAGGCAACCTGCGGCTTCTTGCCTGGGATTTGAGGTTGTTGTGCTTCCTAAACCCCCCAAAATTAGGAAACAAATGGCCGAGAAGCCCAGAAAACAGCCCAGCAGAACAGTATGTTTCCTACTTTGGGGCTTTTGCGCCCAGGAATGTGGGGGTCCGGGCTAGGGTGTAAGGGGTTTAGGGTCCTGTGTCCGTCACACGTAGCAACCCAAGAGAGCCACACAACTTTAAATGGGGTTTACGTAAAGTCTAGGGCCTAGGGTTTAGGGTTGAGTCTAAAAAGATCCTTGTCATGATTTAAAAGCAAACTCACTAGATAGTCAAGAGGTACGAACCCATATCCTAAACCCTGCATGTTCACACCAAACACTATGTAAACCTACATAGGCCGTGAATGTTCCATCATTGGGGGGCTATCGGGCTCCCTGCGTGATGGCAATGGCCCTACAAACGCCTGTAGAAGTCTAAGCCGCAGACTCCAACATCCCATTCTAATTCTCTATGCCCCTGCAGTATCTTCATGTTCTCTAATTCTCTAGGCCTGAAGCCTAAACCCCTACGGTATCTTCATGCCTTTCACAGCAAACTGGGCTGTCGCAACGCTTTTGGGCATCGCAAGCCTCATCGGCCGGAGTGAGGCTGCCACTGCCGAAGCAAGCTGGGCAGATGAGCATTACTTACCGGCTTATAGGCCCCCTTAAGTAGATAGAATATATCTTGGGGTTCTATTGGGATAATGGAAAAGAAAATGGAAACTACTATTTGGGGGTTTAGGGTTTAGGCTTTAGGGTGGTTCTTAGTAGGGGATAAGGGCATAGAATGCCCATATAATGGTTTAGGTGCGGGGACTGTGTAGGGTGTAGGGGTGACCCCTATATACTATATTCCATTATTCCCTACGAAGAACCAGTAAGATGACATAGGAAGACCAAGGCGTGGTAACATGGGCATCGAGAAACACACGGCAACATGCAGAAACACATAGACGTGCATGAGACTGTATAGGAATGTGAAGACCTAGGCATAGAACGTCATAGGCAAATACAGTTGGAGGTTCAAGGGCACTTATATTTTACTTCTAAGTGTATTCAGGACCCATTTATTGCCATATTAGGGGTCTGAGGTGCGATGATTACCTTTAACTGTAAACCTCCAAGTCCACTTCTTCCTTGTAGGGAATTTCCCACTTTGTGTGAGATGTGCTGCTACTCCAACTCCTGATGGGAAAACAGGACTCCCCCAAGTGGAGCCCTCATCAAGTTCAGCTGAAGCTGAAGATAGCAGCATATAAAGCATTTCCAACCCTAATATAGACCCCAAAAATAATACAATCCTTATCATGGGGACTCCTACAAAAGTTACGCCCAATCTTGGGAAACGACCCTAGACCCTAAACCCTAGGCAAGCAAGGCTCCTTTAGCTCAGCTTGCGCCCCATGGCTTAGCAAGGTTTAGGGGTCATGCTAAGGGTTCTATGGGTCATGCTAAGGGTTCTATGTAGTTAGGTCATGAGTTCTATCCAGCCGTTAATGAGTGGGGGCGGTATCCAAAGTATGCACGCATCCATTGAGAGTAGTCAAGGAAAGGTCAACAAGACAACAAAAACATAGATAATCCTAGACGTCCTACATGAACTTAAAAACTAAGCTCCCATAATTCCCAAGGTATAATTTAGGAGGATCCCCCCACCCTGTAACAGTGGTATAATAGGAATATGAGAGGACCCTAATATAATCCTTATTATCCCTTATAGTCACTATTACTGGCTGCGGGGTCCGCATAAGGCAATGCACTAACCACTGAGCCTTGAACCCAAAACCAAATCCCTAAACCCCAATCCCAAAACCCTGAACTTCCTAAACCCTAAACATTAATCCCAAAACCCTAAACTTCCTAAACCCTAATCCCAAAACCTCATGTACTCAGTACATTGGGGTTGTGCAGGACTTTTAGTATCTGCCGGCCTCCCACTGGCTCCCGCTTTTGGCCGCTCCCAGTACCGAGTTCCATCCTTGGTTCGGAGAGCTTGTATTCCAAAATGAAAAGGGTTTAGGGGATTAGGGGATTAGGGGTTTAGGGTTTAGGATTCAGGGGTTTAGGGTTTAGGGAAATTAGGGTTAAGGGTTTAGGGATTAGGGTTTAGGGGTGTAGGGTTACCTAAGTAGCAATCTTAGAACTGTTCTACCCAAGAACAACCTTCCCACCCCCTGATAACAAAGGCCCCCCCCCATATAGTAACATACCAACAGAGTTGGCGCGGGAATACATACTTACGTACATACGTACATACGTACGTACATACATACGTACGTACATACGTACATACATACATACGTAGGTACGTACTTACATTTCATTACATTACATTACATTACATTGCACTGCATTGCATTACATTACAGTGAATAAATACATACATACATACATACATACCTACCTACATACATACCTACATACATACATACATACATACGTACGTACGTACGTACATACATACATACATACATACATACATACACATATACATTACACATACATGTACATGTACACATACATTTACATATGCATACACGAATACATATACGTATACATATACGTATGAATATACGTATAAATATACGTACACGTATATATATATATATATACACACACATATAGCTATGTGTATATATATATATATGTATATATATATAATGTACAGTTAATCACAGATTGTGGAGGTTTGTTAACCCTAAACCCTCAACAGTCTCAGCCTAAGGGTCGAATCAGATCCGGCGCCCCGCCAACGCCAAGCAGTTGAACAGGCCACTGCCAGCCGTGTCCAGCACCTTGGAAACCCTGAACCCTAAACCCTGAATTCTAAACCCTGAACCCTAAACCCTAAACCCCACACACTAAATCCTAAACCAAAAACTGCTGAAGCTCTAAAGCCTAAACCCTAACCACGATTCCGGGGACTGTCGGGTTCAGGTATGGATCCGTATGGCTGGATACTTTTGGCCGCGTCCTGATGGTCTCAGAAGCTCAGGTAAGGGGTTAGTGTTTTAGGGAGGGTTTGGGTTTTGGTTCGGGTTTAGGGTTTAGGGTTTGGGGCTTAGGGTCGAGGGTTTAGTTCCGGTTCAGGGACACTAGCATCGGACTCGGAGGCATGCATCAAGCGATTTCACGCCACTCTCTCAGCCATCACTCCATCCCCGCACTCCTAAGGGGGTCCGTGGAGCTGGTGTAAACTTGGGCCCTAAAGAAAATATAATGGAAGTCTTTTG